TAGTAGAGACCTTATTTTTTAAATTGTAGTTTACTTGCGGCTACACGTCTGTGATGCATGCCGATGTTGGCGCACCCCACCCTTCCGGCTCTCCCACCTCAGACCGTCTGCCCTCCGGGCTGCACAGAGGAGGAGACTTTGTCCTGCCTGAGGGGTCTGTATGCTTTATGTAGATGTTGAGATGCACTGATGGAGAGACCATTTCCTGTAATCTATGCCTGGGTGGCTGCGCCTTCTTCAGCAGAGGCCACAACTAGAGTCTGGTCCACGCTGGGAATCCCTCAGGAAGACTTCTATGGGGAGCACCAATTCTACGCCAGAAGCTTCCAGAAGCTTCTGGAAGCACACAGGCCACCTTGCACTCAGGTCTCAGCAGCAGCCAGGCACAAGCAGGCCGAGCTAGGTGACTGCGAGGCTGAGGGTGCCCATTCCTGGAGAGGAGCCCCGGCCACGTCCCCTCCTGCCTCTTGCTCCTTCCTCTGTGTCCTGGGCCACGTCTTCCTTTCCTTTTTGTCTCAGAGGCACTGGGGTTTGAGCTCAGGGCCTGTGCTGCAGGTCACAAGCATTCCTGGGGGCACCAGGCCAGGCTCCCATGGTTTTGGCCACCTCTTTATGTGTCATCTTTTAGACTGACCCTGCAGAGCTCAAATGCTCTGCTTTTTGGATACCTAACTTTACAGTTACATGATTTTCTTCTTTCTGTCTCTCATTTTGAGACAGGGTCTCAGTATGAAGTTCAGCCTGCCCTTGAACTTACTGTGTAGCCCAGGCTGGCCTCGAACTTGCAGAAATCTTCCTGCCTCAGCTCCCGAGTCCTGGGATTACAGGTGTGCACTACCATGCCTGGCTGAATGGAAGACTTTTGCACTGAACTCCATCCTCAGTCCTTTAAAAAAATTTTTTTAGGCAGAGTTTTGTGAGGTAACTAAGTGGCCCAGTCTGGGCTTGAATTTTCAGTCTTCTTGCCTCAGCCTCGGCGAGCGAGAGCACTGGGAGCACAAGCCCAAGGCGGTAGTCAGGAAGTGCTCCGGAGAGGTAAGGGAGCACCCCGCTGCTCTTGGGCGCCCCCTGTCCTTGCTCGGTGGCAGTCACCTGGGCCTGCCTGGGCCTACCTGGGCCCTGGCTGCTGTCATCTCTGGAGTTTTGCACCAGCCTGAACACGGATGCCATGGCTGTGACACGGACAGGGCAGAGGTGCAGCGAGACTTTGAGGGCCCCGTTAGGTGACCACGGTGGGCTGCCTGAGCCATGTGGCTTTACGCCCTGCATCTTGGTCATCTGCAGGAAGAAGGTCCCAGCAGAGAGATCCAGGGACGCGCAGGGCTGGGGCATCTGCAGTACCCTGTGAGCCAGTCTGGTGACAATCACTGTGTCCGTCAGCAAGGCTTTCCTTAGCTAATGTCGGGTGCACCACGTCCCTTTGCTCCAGGGATTCGACAAATACAAATTCCAAGAGGACTGAAGTTCCACGTCACAGAGTTGAGGCCAAGCTGTGTATCTGGCCTGCAAGGTCAGGGTTAGGCACATGAGCCAGACTTCCCACAGCTGATTTCAGCTGGCAGGAAAATGAACTCCCTCACAGAAAAGTAGCCCGAAGTCCTGTTAGCTAGGCATCTATTTTCCTCTTCTCGTCTCCCTGTGCCTCCCCGACAGTGAAAGCAACCTTTCAGAGCCTGTCTGCTTTCTGGTCTTCAGTGCTCTCCCTCCAGCTTCTCTCTGGCTACAGCACCAGCCCCGCCCCTGCCCGCCCACAGGAACACATCCGTTTTATGGAGGAAGCGCTGCCTACTCTGAGAGCTGCAAATAAAGCCAATAAAGATCTTTAAATCACTGTGGTTGCCACCTTTGGCAGATATAAATAAGGATTTTTTTTTGTTGTTGTTTTAGTTTAGGCTGGGCTTCAACTCACTGTGTAGTCCAGGCTGGTCTCAAAATCATGGTGAGTCTCCTGCCTCAGCCTTCAGGGCTGGGATTACACCATGCTCAGCATAAATGAGGCTTTTAACTTTCTTTAAAGCTCTGCTAGCAATTATTTTTTATGGGATCCCCTTTAGATGCATTGGAAACCCTTAAGTTAGTAGAGCAATACAAAACTATACAACTGAAAAATAGGAAACAGCTCTTTTCGAAATATTTTTTAAAGAATTGAACAGAATCTGGACTGGGGGTGACTCAGTGGTAGAGTTTTGTTTGACAGGTGTGAGGTCCTGGGTTGGATTCTTAACACCATAATCAATGCAAACTTTTTGTTTTGTTTTGGAGAGACAAGGTCTCTCTTTGTAGTTCAGGCTGGCTCTAAACTCACAGTGATCCTCCTGCCTCAGCCTCCTGACTGCTGGGATTACAGCCTGGCGGTCAATGTACTTTGGACAGAGGAAAAAATAAACTGGCCTGCTTCTCCACTGTGTTAAGTATATCAGAAACGACCATCCGATGAAGACACGAGATGACAGAGATCCTTTATTCTAGGGCGGCCAGTCAGGCTGAACTTCTGAGGGCTTCCCAGAACCAAGGCTGCTTTCCCATGTTGGGGTCAGAAGTGAATCGTGTCCCAGGTGGGAGGAAGGAGACTCACTGGGAGGACTAGGAGCTCACGCAGTGGCGGGTGGGGACGAGCTGGGGGGAGACTCCTGAAAAGCCCCATGTATGACTACAGACACAGCCACAACACCTGGGTTAGCCACACATTTACTCAAGAAATATTTACCAGGTGCTTACAACACACCACCCATTTTTCTAGGAAGACAAAAGATGATTTTTTTTTACTATTATTTCTAACACTGTAAAGCAAAATGCCAAACCTTTTCTTACTTAGAAGTCACTTTTAGGGCTGGGGATTTAGCTCAGTGGTGCTGCAGCTGCCTCGCAAACACAAAGTCGTGAGTTTGATCCTGGTACAAAAAAAAAAAAAAAAAAAAC